GCAGTACAGCAGAGGGCTCAGTCTCCATAGAGGACAGGCAGAGAATACCAGGAACTTTCTCTAGGGGTGATTTTTATTCATAGCTATCAAGAAAAAAAAATAGCCGAGCTGAGGAAGAATCCATAACCTCTGGGTGTTTTGACTACCAAGCATACATTCCACCTAAGCAAGCTTGTGTTGCATTTATGTATAATATGCTCATGGCTCTGTAGAGATGAGACCTAATTTGCACGTCACGGTAAACTATAGCGTGCTTTGCTTCCGACTTTGCATACAAACCCAGTATTTGGCCTTTGTAAACCATGATTTATAAACAAATGTGTATGAGTGACCTTGGGAGGTGACAGCTCTCAGCTGGCCTTACTTAGACCCGGAAGCTAAGCAAGATCAGGCTCGGTCCGTGCCAGAATCATAGAATTCCAGGGTTGTAGGCTAAACTAGAGAATTGGAAAAATATCCCAGAAAGCAGCAATGGCAAATCTGAATTGTTGCAAGGAAGCTGCATGGATGTGGTCGTGGAATCACTGACCTCACCTTGACGGAGACTCTCTGAATAAGGCTAATAATTCTTGGTTTAATACCGTGCAGCCATTGAGAGAGTACAACAGTGCATATCCGACCTTTGAGCTAAGATAGGCTCTCAGCTTGAGTAAAACAGAGCAGCTGGATTCACATGCTACATTAAACCAGGATAAATCACTGTGCAAGCTGAGTAGGTGATGAGGGACTATTCAGCAAGAAGGGGTTTGCAGACTTCCCACAAGTAGCTGCCTGACAACTGCTACAACCAGGATGTGAGTTAGATTTCATTTATTTCTTGAAGACACCTCATAACAAAAAATATATAGTCATGCATTTCAGAAAAACAAAGATAAATATTTGAAAATTTAAATAATAATTTTAATACACCAAGTAATCCCACATCTCTTCATGAAAGACTGGACCAAAGTAAGAACAGCGAATATGGCTTTCATTCACGTCTTCCATTTCTTCTGCCACATTAGAGTTCGGTGAAATGATTAAAACATGGGAAATGTTTAAGTCTTACCAGCTTTCTTCTGAAGGCTGCAAAGTACTTGATTAAAATGTCCAGGTTTCAAATGAGTGATATATTGTGTCCAGTAAAATGAACACAAGTGTTAAATAAGCACAGCTGATAACAGCTGCTTTCTTTTGTCCTGACTTGATATTTAAGGTCTTTTGAGTGATTCATTCCTTTTCCATCACCTGCCCAGGAGATAAGGCACTGAAGTACTGGAAGACAAGTGTTTTTCCCTCAGCCCCACAAAACGACAATCACAGCTTGAAGCCAGAATGAATGGCCACAATGCCTGAGGTCAGGTTTTGATATTCCACCTTCAGAAAGCCTGCATCTTCAATCATTTCCTTGAACTCCTCCTAAAATAAAGTAATGATAAATACAGCATTTAGCGCTGAAACTCATTCCTGGTGTTCCTAGCACATTTTCAAGAGCAACTGCGACTGAATGCTTTTCTTTAGCGTGTCTTTCTGTAAGACTGAAGTTTTAATGTTTAGGTTAACCTGGAGGACTTGTTTTACCTGAGCCGGAAAGCGCCTTATGCTTTCTACAAGATACTGGTAGGATTTCCAATCACCAGCAATAATTTCTCCCAGCACAGGGATAACTTGGAAGCTATAGAGATCATACAGACTGTGAAAACAAAAATTTAAAAGTTAGTACAGATACTGGATGCAGCTAATACATCCTGACTAAAGTTTGCATAAACTAGTTTGATTTCAGTTCTGGGTTTTCACATGTTGAAGGTAAACTCTGAGGAAGGGCAAATAGGTTTTTTTTTCCTTTTGAATTTCCTTCGGGGGAGGGACCAAGATCTGTTCTAGCAGCTTTCTAAAGCCATTCCTGGGCAGCACATGTGGCAGGTCTTAAGGGAGGAACCCCCCTCCCACTACCGATATGCGTGCAAGAACTTGCTTTCCTAGGATTGAGTCAAAACGCATGCTACAGTTATAAATGCAGGCGGGCTGACATGCACCCAAATTCTGATCACGTGACCATGGGGGTGCACTTTAGGGACCGGCCATAAGCACCATTCATTCAGCGCCACCATAACTTCAAATGGTGACTGAATAATCATTAACCAAGGACTACCTGTATATTATCTGCAAAGATGATAACCAATCCCTCCTTCTCTTTCTCCTAGTCATTAATGAATTTGCACCATCAAAAATACAGTGTGAATACAAGTTGTCATTCTTCCCCGTTCACTAGATAGAATATTGCATCCGGTTCTAGGCACTGCATTTGACTACTCTGGGGTTACTTGAAGTCACTCTTTTAGTCCTTCAGATCAGTCTGAAATGGTCAAATTGCCCACCCTTGGCCAAGAGAATACTCTATTTCTGCTTTTTACTGTTTTCCTAAGCCAACCTGTCCGGGGCAGCAGGGAGGTGTCACCAATTAGAAAAGACTCTTGAACAAAACATGTACAGGCAGTCCTCACTTAACAATGGCAATTGCGACTGGAATTTCTGTCCCTAAGAGACGTGGTCATAAAGTGCGATGTCATGTGACCACACCTCTTAGCAAAAGCAATTCCAGCACTTCTGGTTGCCGTTGTTAAGTGAGGGTGTCATGTGGTCACCATTTGTGACCTCCTGCCAGCTTCCCCATTGACTTTGCTTCTAGGAAGCCAGCAAAGAAGATTACAAATGGCAATCTGATGACTGTGGGACGCAGCAACATTATAATCGTGGCCCGAGTGCCTAGATCATGATCACATGACCGTGGGTATGCTGCAACAGATGTAAGTAGAAGCACTGGTCATAACTACCTCTCGTTCAGCACCGTCGTAAGTTTGAACAGTCGCTGAATGAGTGGTCATCAAACAAGGACCACCTGTACTGTACTAAATTCAATAAACAGGAAATGTCTCATACTGTCACAGTAGCGTATAAATATCATTTGCTTAAGGAGGATGAAAACATGAAAAGAAGATCCTTTGTTTCAACCTGGAAATAAGGGAATTGTTGACTTGACTGAATTCAAGACAGAGAAACCGCCCTCCTGGTTTCAGAACTCGATGAGCCTCCTGAAGTGCCTGGAATCACAGACAACAAGCAAACAAACAAAACACCACAGTAAGCAGGCGTATTATGATGTTTCACTTAGCTCTATTCTGATCTCAAACAGGAGAGTTTGAGGGAGGGGGTTATGGGTAGATCAAACAATACCCTGTTGATTGCTTGGATACAGTCATGTGAAAAAGAAAGCACACCCTCTTTGAGTTCTATGGTTTTACGTATCAGGACATAATAAAAATTATCTGGGCCTTAGCA